GTGTACACAATAGGTAATCAAGACGAGACATTCCCCCAGGCGTGACAACTTCATAAGAAACAAGCAGCCAGTCGGGACCTTTGACCTGAATGGAATGACATCATATCGATGTTAGACCCACGTGATGATCACGTGCTTTTAAGCTCCACGTCAGACTCGTTCTTTCCTGCTTGTCCCTCAGTGTTCGGTGACCTGTGGGAAGGGGAAGCAGGCGCGTTACGTCAGCTGTCGGGACGCTCAGGGAGGAGTGGCCGACGAATCGTACTGCGCCCACCTGCCCCGCCCTCCCGAGTTCTCCACCTGCTTCAGCCCCTGTGGCCAGTGGCACCCCAGAGAGTGGTCTGCTGTGAGTAAAACACCCAAGTGGCTCCGGTCAGTTCAGATGTTTCTGCGTTGTTCCTGCCAGCAATGTGAAAATCCCCACGATGCGCAGTGACTGCTTTGATCATAGACGGTGTCTTCATGTGTATTTTTCTCTTTAAACTGATGACAATCTGACTAGAGAACCAGTGGTGGGTCGGAGCCAGTGAAGATGGCGCGATTCCTAATCATAGCCATGTGTGAAATCAAATCTTTCATATTAGCATGAAAGAAAACAAATCAATTATTTCCCATGAAATAAACTTTGTTCTTCTTTTCGCAATACAAGTGTTACACTCAGGACGCATCTTATAAGAGCAACGTGACGCCACTCATAGAAAAAATAAATGAAAATGATACTCGGGGCTAATTTAGAACATGGATTTTCTTCTAACGTGGATTTAGAAGAGAAAAATCTAATGGATAAAGTCATGTAAACAATCTTAAGGAAGGACGTCCAAGCTAAATAATCCAAGGTAATGCTTCCGGTTCCATTTCCGCCGCGTGATTCATAACATGACACAGAAAAGGTAGCTGAAAGAATGCTTTTAAATCCACTTTGTTATTACTTGAGATATTTCACACAAAAAGGCATTTATAGTTGCAAATGCCTTAATCCTACAAACACGTAACCATCCCTGCTCAGATATGCACTGAAACATTGTCACATTTTTACCTAAAATGATCTGATTCTTTTTCATCACGGCGAGTGTCAAAAGCATTTGAAGCTTTAAGCTGGCTCAGATAATGTCAGGATGGATTTTAGAGCCGTTTTTTTGTCACGAGGGGTTGTCAATCACGGCATGAAGAAAGCAGACCAAACAATAAAAGTGCAGGGACTTTCTTTCCATCTGTGGATGATGAACATAGATCACTTTCAGGGCAAAATTCATAATTGGTCGTAAAGTCATAAAGGCTGCTGTAGCCTCTAATCAACTACAAGCCCTTCTCACAGCAGTGATGAGCATGGCACGCCTTCAAAGGGAACGCCACCACCATCCAAAAAGAACATTGCTGACCATATGCAGTTTGTTCAAGTTCACTTTGACAAGCCAAAAAGCTGTTGGAAAGTACTTTTGCAGGGCACACAGAAACAAAATAGAAATGTTTTGTTTATTTGGCTATGTTTGGAGTGATGCAAACACTCTATGTTAGGTATATGTTAGCTACATGCCAACATATTATGTTGTGCTGAATTCTTGGCAGGGGAGGCTTCGTAATATTGCTTCTTTTTCTTTATTCTGAATACATCGACCTGACCAAAAACATGTTTTGATGAGATTATATATCAATAAAAAATAGCCTAAAGGCAGGATTATTTTCAGAGCCCAGTTTGTATATAAGGCAATTCAAAGTGCTTTCCATCATAAAACGCAGAAAGGCAAATAAAGACATTAAATAAAATCATCACTTAATTCAAAGTGAGTGAGTCCAGGTCTGTCTCACTTCTTCAGGAAGACTGTTCCAGATTTTAGCAGCATAAGGCTGAAACACAGCCTCCCCTCGTTTTGTCCTGACTCAGCACCAGCAGAAGACTCCTGCCTGAGGTTCTCAGAGAGACAAAAGTCATAGAGGGACAGAGTGCTTTGTCGAGGACATTCAAGTCCAATCCAGAGTGTTGCAGAGACCTGAAGTTCATGTGCAAAAGCTGACAAACATTCCCGAGTTTAAGCTTCTCTTTGCAGAGGAGTGAGTTAAAATTCCTCCCCGCTGATGCACTCGGCTGATCGACATTTACTGGAAAAGGTTCATCGCATTTATAGGTGAACGAAGGGGTCACACCTCATAGTAAAAGTAAAGCTTTGACGTACCTCTGACACTCACAGATAAGTGATCCTGGATTTGCCTCAGTGTTGCAACTCTTACAACTACCATTATAACAAAATCGGATGGCCTCATATTTCTGTCAAATGAAGAAAATCGCTTTAAGTTCTAACATAGGTTCAAGAGTCAGATAACCGCATTTATAATGTTAAAAATGCCAGCTCTCTTGTTTTGTTTTTTTATGGTGTGTTTGTGACACTCGCTGTGCCTCTTCCCTCCTGCTAGTGCTCTGTGACGTGCGGCGTTGGAAGAACCACCAGACAAGTGGTGTGCTCCAACTACCACCAGCCCGTGGAGCCGTCCTTCTGTGACCCGGACGAGAGGCCCCCGGCGGAGCAGGAGTGCGCCGCCGCGCCCTGCCCCTCCGTCTACAGCCGCCAGCCCGTTTACCAACAGCCCTACGGATACCCCCAGGATCCGGGACGTCACCCGGGGCACAGCAGCTGGAATGTCCCCTCAGCAGACAACCAGTGGAGGACCGGACCCTGGGGCGCGGTATGTTCAGCGTATAGGGGGGAAAAAAAAGGCTGTTTCCAGGAAAACTTTGTAGGAGGAACAACTCCAAAAAGTAGAGTTTTACAGTGGTATTCTTTACTGGCACGTAAATACACTAACGTGTTTTAATGCATGGCCAGCGTCGTATGTGGTGCCTGCATCTATCGTACAGGCTGTGTGCACGTAACGTGTTGTGGAGGAGGCCCGTGTGTGCGTGTCTGTAAACACATTCTTGTGAACACATTAACTCAGCAGTTGAGGCAGCAGATGTTTTCATTTTCAAGGGCAGAAGGCCATACATGGTAACAGATGAGTGTATGCAGAGTGTACAGCGCGGTGTGTACTAACATTCAGCTCACTGCTGCTGACTGGAAAAAAAATAAATCTAGGTTATCTCAGGGTAGAGTCCGAGTGCTTTGGCTAAAATCAGAACAAATGTCACTGTGCCGGCAATTGGAGATCTTTGAAACCAGTTTAATGAGAACATTTACGTAGAAGTGATTCCGTTTAGTGTAAAAAGTCCATTTTTTAATGTGATGTGAGCTGCGTTATCCATCACATTTTAAGCGGAAAAGCTCTTCAGTGCTTTTCGGGCTCGTTCTGTTCATTCTTCTGTCCCTCTGTACGGTGGGAGAGCGCTATGAGGGAGGACACGCAGCACCAAATGTTCTCACTCCCATTAGCACTGGGGATGTGTCATTGTACCGGGATGCATAGTGTACCAGCTGCTTTGGTCAAGGCTATGGTGTTAGGAATTTTTTAATTTCCCCATTTACTGTTTTACGACTGTGAGCAAACTGTTTAGATTTGGTCGATGCTGTGTTTCCTGTTGAGTATGTGTCTTTGGTTTGTCTGTGTATGACCAAATTAACCCAGTCTGAAGCATAAGAAACATATTTGGACACAAACTTGTACTGTGCTCATAGATTTTTATATCTATTTAGAAAGAAATCAACAGCATTTGAGTAACAAAAATATATTTTGATAAATTAGAAAGTAAACCTCATTCTGATTGTGCTCTCCAGTGTTCCAGTACCTGTACGGGAGGCTTTCAGAGGCGAGTGGTGGTCTGTCAGGACGCTGAAGGGCGAGCCAACAGCTACTGCGATGAGAGGGTCAAACCCGCCGAGTCCAAGAGCTGCGACTCCGGCCCCTGCCCTTTGTGGAACTATGGGGTTTGGGGAGAGGTGAGACCCTATATGAACACCTCCTGTTTCCTCTGTGCGTTTACACACACGTGAAAAAGAAGTTAAACCCCAGAAAGACCAAACTGAATTAAAAAAAAAGTCATTTTTGCCGGCAACAGTGAAGGCGAGCAGAAAAATCCTGAATCCGATTTTTTGTTTGCTGTTTTCCTCAGTGTTCCCAGACCTGCGGGGGCGGGAGGAGGACCCGCCTGGTGGTGTGTCAGCGTCCCAGCGGACACAGGCTGAACGACTACAACTGTGACATCCTGGACAAGCCCCCTGACATGGAGCAGTGCAATCTGCAGCTCTGCCCGGGCTCTGCCTCCTGGCATCGCCGACCCTGGAAGCCGGTACGATAGTGCTAACTAATTCTCCTCCCACACCTTTCCCCCGCAAAGGGCGCATCACTGTGAGTAGACATGGTGTGTAATAACATGACTTCAGGCATGTATACTGACTCTCAACTTAGCGCCTAAAACTGTTGATATACTGAAGTAAATGCTGGGTTCACCTACACCGGCCCACCCAGACGGGCCCTCTAAAGACATGGTGCTGATTATAAATAAAGGAAAACAAAAACAAAAACAGACTACAACAATGCTGCTCTGATCTAGAGGATCATTAAAAACCACATGGATCCTATTTTGAGGCGATGCTCAAAATGAGAAGGTTTAAATCAGGGCGGCGGTGTCCAACAGTGCCTTTTATTTATGGAGGCATAACTCTGGAAAATATTTATTTCATACATGAGGCGTGAAGTTAACAATCATATCTGTTATTGCTGTCTTCACCCTGTATCTGCAGTACACAAGTGTATATTTGTGTATAAGAGGTAATATTATGACTTTTTATTGAACAGCAACAAAAAGGCTGTCTATGTATTTTGTATGTGTATCTTTGTACAGTATGATTTCGTTTTTCAACTAGATAGTTTTTATTACTGAATTTCTGAGATTTCACTGGTGCTTTTGGTCAGACCTCTGGTATCTCCTCACGACGAAACGCAGTTTGTACAAAGGAAAATAGCTTCCAAACATATTTCATTCTTATTTCTGCTTCTACTTGTGCTCAAGTTGAAATTCAAATGGCTGCTGCTCCATCAGGTTACAGTATCTGGAAACGTTTACTTTGTCACATTTACAAAGCTGAAAAGAATCCAAAAACATAATACTCAAAAGTTACTTAAAGGTATGTTTGTTAAGCTATACATTTTTTTGTTTCCAGTAAGCATTATAGAGGAGGTTTTTTCTTTGATATTCATGAAAGTATGAATATGATGTATTTTTTAATTGGAACATTGTTCACTGCCTTTCTATATATAGTTGTTATATTGTTCCGCTTTATACACAGATAAGCCATTGGGCAAGAGCCATTTTATTTGCCCCAATTTGACATAGACTAGAGTTATATATTGACTATATCCTGCCGTCACATTTCTGAATAAGAGCACATCATTTGAAGCAAGCGTGTTGCCACACGACTAAAAACAAGAGCTTTAAGATACAATTTCCAGTCATGTTCTGATACTAAAGTGCTATCGATTCTAACATAAATGATGGATTACCTTTCATGGCCTAGAATGAATTTATTTATTCCGCTGAGCATATTGCAGTTGGAAGTGAAGCAGCCTGTTGCATGTAAGCGTGTGGGAGCAGAGCAGTAAGTCAAAACCACTGACAAGCTCTTTTTCATCCGTCAGCGTCGCCCATAAAACAAACCCAAGCACACAGATACCTCCGTCTCATAACGTCATTATCAGTTGCTTTGTTTGTATTTCCTCTTTAGGGCAGTTTATTTTTAATTTCTGAAGGATATTCTTCTCTTATTTATTTGTTTACAGTAGTCATTGATTGTTGCAGTTTTTATATTTTTGTTCTGGGTTAGACTGATGCAGCACTTTGCTTGAATTATTTGTCATTTTCTGACATGGCGCTCGATCTGAGCGGTCATGTGACCGTAACCAGTGGCGGGATATAACGAAAGCATCTTAAAGACAGATGAACTCACTGAAAAGCTGTTTTCTTCTGATTACGAAAAAGTCAAATAAACTGATCTGAGTTTTAAAAGAATGCAATAAAATATACAACCCCAACTCCAAAAAAGTTGTGCGTAAAACAGAATGCAGTCATTTACAGATACAATAACCTAAGCTTTTATATATATATATTCAGTATTTAATATTTCACAAGAAATATGTCGAATGTTAAGAACATTTTCCCTTATGAAAGAACTCAGGACAGGGCCTCAGATGCCCCCTCCTCTACCATCAGATATGCCTTTGAACTGAGCACTGATAACAACATGGATAATCCCTCGGCTTTCTAGAGCATGTACTCCATGATCTCCAAAAATAATCTCAAATACGAATACAGAACAGGTTTCATCTTTGCCTCAATAGTGACTTATCAAAAGGAGAGTTTTGGCCCAGAAAAGAGTCCGTGTTACATTTACACAAATGACTTGTTTTTGTCCCATGGTAGAGCTTAACCTACATTTGTAGATGCCTGAGCTCAGACATTTTTTCCATGATATCATCAGTTCTCCTTTTCAAGCAATGCCACATCTCAAGCCACCAGTTCAGACATTTAGAGCCCCTTGCACACAGATGTCTTTGACTATTTCAAACAGTATAGGCTGTAAATGATGGAACATTCAAACCCTGAATGATAACTTAGACAATCACACAGCTCTGAAAACTATCCACATTTTGTAGATTAAGTTTTCTTTTTTTTCTTGTTGGTGCTGTTTCTACCTCTTTAAACGTAACAATATAATTATTTTTAACGGGTTCCTCCAGCTGTTTCTTTTAAATAAATTATACTTACTTTTTCAGCCCTTTGTTGCTATAGTCCCAACATTTTTTAGACCTGTTGCTACAATCATGTTAGATTAGTTACTATTAATGAAATGGTAATGGTAAAGAGAAAAAAAGTCATTTATGAATAGCTTTTTGATTTCAATATCCTTTTCATGCTTTATATGCGAGATATTGGATAACAAAATTGAGCTTCAGTCGATCACTGAATCCTGCTTTTACTCTAATTTTTTAGAGAATTCCAGATTTTAGGAGGAGCTTTTTTGCCATTACACCTTTTTTTTATCTTAAATTGATTTCTTCATACTGTTGATTTATTTTAAAACAAAATTTTGGGTTTGTTTTTTCATGCTATAATAGTTAAAAATCTTAAAAGTTGTTAGGATAAAGAGCAGTTTACGCTTTGAATTAGATTTTATAGTCATTATAAACTCAAAGAGGCACTGAGCACCAGCTGAAACTAGTTTTATCTAAAGGAAAACATACAAAAGACTGGAAATTCCAAGCTATATAAGTCAGCGAGACCCTGTCTTTCAGTTTTCAGTTCATTTAATTAAAACTGGTACAATAGACCAATTTATCCAACCAAAACACAGTTGTACAAAGCCTAATTATATGCTCAAGCTCCAAACAATTAATAACCTACTTAAAATGTCACATGTAAGCTCTTTAAAATACTTTTGGATTACCACATTGTCAAAGATGATCCAGATGCACTTTTTTTTCCCAGACACATTTTTCAAATGTTGCATCTAGCTTTGTGTTTATGTTGGTATTGTCCCCAGTTGGGATGTCTGTTTTGTGTGTTTTGTTTTTTTCGCTTCCCTCCCTGTGTGTGTGTGTGTGTAAAGACTTCCACTTCAACCAAGACTCTTCAGCCATGGCAGTTTCACTCCCTCTTTCCTTCTAACCCCCATGGTGCAAAGTTACACAAATTCAAGAAGGCAACTCTGCGTTATTTTTCATATTTTATTTGGTTGATGTTTATCTTTGCTATTTATTTCATTCGCCATGCAACAATACGTACATATATGTTAAATTAGCTCTTTTCCAATTGTAAAGACTATTAAAGAAACTTAACTGTGGCATTTGTGTTGTTTCTCAGTGCTATACAATACTGATCTACAAATGTTACTAACTAACTAACTGATGTGTTTCAGAAGCCTATGAACACATGTAAAGCATTGTTTACTAGCTTGTGGCTGCACAAGATGGAGAATAATGACACAGAAACCTGAAAACTGATTTTAAAAATCCAAAATATCCTGGTTATCTGTTACAGGGTGATATATTTTGGTCGTTTGCAGCAATATTTCCTTAATACATAAGATAATCTAAACCATATGAATGACACAGAGGTGATGTGTTCGTGTGTGTGTGTGTGTGTATGGGTGAGGCGTGTCGCTAATACTACAGCAAATATCTGATGTGTAGTTCCTTATGGCTGCTTTATTGTTTGGCCTTCAATTAACTTTCCTTCATTCTTAATTTTAAGAACGAGTCGCTCTCTGGGGACCTACTTAGACTCAGCCCCTGTTGTATCTGTAAAGCCTCACTTATCTGGGAATATCGCAGTGTGAGAACACCCCAGGACTTTTCCTTATACGTGCTCTGAGATTTAATTCTGTGATTTCACCAGAGAAAACAGGCAGCCGATTTGAGTCCAAATCAAACACTGGGTGGCACATCTGTTTACCATTGCATTAATAGAGTTCTCTGTAATGCATTTGGCAGGAGACTGACAAGAGCCTTACTTTATTTACTAAAGGAATAATTAGTATTAATTTGAATTGGCACGGGTTTGTTTTTTTGAGGAGATACAAATAGAAAAATAAACAAAAAACCTAATAAGAGTCAGGGAAACCCCACTATTAATGTAAGATGGGCAGTTATATTCTAAAAAACTAAATCAAAGACTATATTCAAATAGTGGAGAATGAAGCCTTAAACTGTGGTCTTAAAACAACTGTTACACAATCAACAGGAGGGACTAACTCCATTCAAATACCCGTAGTAATCACAAAAAAACACAGTAAACCACGTTTAAGAAGCAATTTTTAAACCAAATTTGTTATTATGTCATTATCAGCATTTCATTAGGCACATCACAGAATATCTGTTATTTTTTATTCCTTCTCTTTTAATAACTAATAGGTTGTTATACAAATCAAATTAGCTGGTAATCTTTAAGCAATGATATGCATTAATTCTTAATATAGATATAGGTTAAGGTCATGTTTACAGAAATGAGCTTGTAAATCTATATCTAATACAGTATTAGTGATGACAATTAATAGATTTTCTGATGAATATAATAGGGAATAATCTCACAAATGAGAATGAGAACATGGAAACAGTCTTACCAAATAGGTTTGCAATTTTATTATTGATTTTATTTTATTTTTCATTTATCTAAAGAAAAAAAAAGAACTATTATCAAAAGTATATGCATTTTCCAAATGTCTGTCATTAAAACATACTTATCACAAATAGAGAATAACGAGAAGACACAAAAAATTACCACTTTTATTGAATGATTACAGT